GGGAAGGTGCCGAGGGCCAGTTTAACTGAACCTGACTCGCCTAAAAATTAGCTTAGAAAAATGTTCCTGGGCCCAGGAACCAGCTGTGCAGTTTACAACCTCACACTTCTCCTAATTAAATCACCAGAGACCAATTGAGCTCTGTCAGGTTGTTATGAATTGAAAGTATTGAATGATTTTATATTATAGCTTCACAATCACATTTCATACTGGCCCTGAATAGAGTCAAGTCATTGTACACCCATTTGCAACCTGATGAGAGAAACAAAAGCACCAAAGTGTCTTAAACCACAAAGATTTAAATCCTTGATGAGGTTTGTGTGTGTGTGTGTGTGTGTGTGTGTGTGTGTGTGTGTGTGTGTGTGTGTGTGTGTGTGTGTGTGTGTGTGTGTGTGTGTGGCAAGCCTCCAGCAAGAATCAGAAGAGACAAGATCTGAGGTAGGACTTGCTTTTTATCGCAGACAAACATAGACAGATGGGTTGTAATAAGCATTGATTTGCCAGACTTTTGGTTCCGGCACTAATCAGAGAGCAGGAGCGAGGTCCAGACTGTGGGCCGTTTAGTCAATGCCAGCTGACTCCCTCCCTGTATGATTACCACCTCATTGTTCTTTTACAATGACCTTGGCTCATCACACAATCAAGTGTCTGATTGCATCACTCACACACACACACACACACACACACACACACACACACACACACACACACACACAAACACACACCCCTACTGGCTTTCTTAGCTTTTATGGCAATTACTGTAGTGTGATGCATGTGTGAGTGGCTGTGAGACACATTCAAAACTCAGAGAAGTTGTCTTGTTTAACACTGCTCTGTTGCTTTGTGCTGGTTACATCCACAAATCTGTTTTATTATATATACAAATGTGACACCGCACTGGCTCATGGTCAGACACCTAGAAGACCGTATTTCTTTAATTGGGTTGTTGTGAATGAAAGCAATTTATTTTTATTTTCTTTCACTGGGCAGCCATGGCTCTAACCACTGTTTTGAACTCCATTTTGACCTTAAAAGGAGAAGAAGCTCTTGCAACACAATCAGCACTTAATGACTAGGAATATGCAGCCGTGCTAGCAGCTCTGTAAGGTTGTACTTTGGCACAATGGTGTTTAATGGGGCTAAATTCTAATGTCAGCATGCTAATATACTCACAATGGCTGTTACTGCAAAACTGTGACTTAGGCTTACGTGTGTTAGTTCCACACAATAATCCACTCTGCTTCCAAAGTGAAGTTGAAAAACACAAAAGATTTTTATTCCACATGTCACAAGCAGGTCAAAGCCATTGACTTCTCTTTGCTAAATATAAAACTGAACATGACAGGACACGTATGAAAACCGCATCACTCCACAGATACTCTAGCCGCCGCTATATTCCTCCATTCCACAGCTTAACTAGAGTAAATGTACCATGTGCACTCTCTTAAAGTGACAGTACCTGATTACCAAACAAATGAGTTTATATACCTTGTGGTGGATATTTTTGTGAAACACTGGACACAAACACAGAAATGAAAACACAGACACTGACTGACTGAAGATTAATAAAAAAAAAGATTATTATTGACATTCAACACACAACACACATTCAACCCCTTGACCTTTCAGATAACCTCTTTGACCAAACAGAATGAGGGGAATAATGGCCTTTTCAACACATTTACTCAAACTCAAAACTAAACTCAAAATGCACATCTTTTAGGAAGATTATAAGAAATCTATGAGAAAAATATGAAGCTAACCCTTGCCTCATATAATGATAATGCTAAGATTCTGACGTTTAGCAGGTATATTACCTAGTGTGTTTACTGTGTTAAACATTGCAGTTCAGCATGTTACCATGCTAACATTTGTTAGCACTAAACATATAATGAATTGGTCATAAACAAAAGCACTTGATACTATATGTGTGTAGCTACTAACTTTCATGACAATCTATCAAATAGCTATTACATTTTCATGCAAAACCAAAATTGTCACAATCTTGGTGGCACAAGAGAAGAAGTCATTAGGATTAATCCTCTAGGTGCCATGACTTTCATTGGATAAGTGAAAACTTTGACCTGCTGATGGCACAAGACAAACAGATAGGAGGTCACCGAAGTCCTCCCATGTGTGCACAAAATTGGCAAAAAATTGGCTAAAAAAACAAGCAGTTTACACAGAAGAGGCATGGCACCAAAAACCAGGTCCTTCCATACAGACGTAGACAGAGAAACCTGGCTGTTAAAAAACTCACATAATTCCCTTCAAAGACATGGAGTTAAGCTGTATTTCACAGTTATTGCATCATGAACATGTTGAACTCCTCCAAAATTCGAAAAACAAGAAATAAACAACAACAAAGGTTTAGTCAGCAAAGTTTTCCCCAAAATCAGGAAACTGGAATTCTCAGAAATTGTTGTTTTTTTTTCAAATAGATTGCATAAATCCTTGAAAAAAAAAACTCCAAAAGGAATGAAGGCAACACTGCCTGTTTGGTTGTGTAACATGAACCCTATTAAAAATTTACTGATCTTACTCGAGACCAATGCTCTGTCGTCTTTTTTTTTTTCCACATGCAGCAGGGTTACTATGAACAGCCCTCGTATGCACAAACATCTGACACTGCGTATAACAGAAAGTGTGACGTTACATCTTTAAAAGACTTATTTGGTGACATTTGGAGGCAGCCTGCACAGACGGACAAGCCCCTGCTGCAGCAAGAACTCAGACATGAAGTTGGGTAAAACGAAACCTGAAGAAGACAAACACAAAGACATCAGAGGAATCCACCTTCTGCTGGAAACACAGCTAATAACTCTCCCCTCTGTGCCCACTGTGTAAGGCCTCCCCAGCACATATTCATTATTCAGAAGGTGTTCCTCTCCATCTATACCACTGCTCTATCCTTACCAGTCATCCCCACCATAGATTTATAATTTATCACCCTTGCCTATAAATCTTTTATTGTTTTTAGAACAGCCATTGGGGATGTATAATTCAATGTTCTGTGCACCAAAAGCAAGCCTTTTCCATGAAAAAAAAAAAAGTAGATCCCTTGAAAAAGGGCAGGGATAATTCTCTTCAGGATATTATGTAACACATAATGGAGTAATAATATGGAGATATACCCCCCATCTAAATTATTGTCTGGATGTTGGGCAGATGCAAAGTAAAAAAGATTGATTCTTTTATTCCATCCTCGTCTGTCTGTCTGTCTTTCTAAGCTCTAATACCCAAGCAACGCTGCGACACAGTGACCTTCACCACAATACAGAGTCCAGCTAAAGTTTAAATTCTCTCAAAGTAAAAGAGTGAGTGGTTCTACAGTAAAATTTAGGGGCATAAAATTGGAACATTTGTGTGCAAATCGGGGTTAATGAGTCACCCTGGTGTGATGATTTAAATGGTTTAGTGTTGTGCTGACAGTTCCAGAAGATCTAATGGGATCAATAGAACATAAATAATAATTTGTTGCCCCATTAAAACAAGACTACGGACTGTCTTTGCTAATGTCTGCTGACTCAGGAGCCCATAAAAACTTTGCCAAAGCATTTTGCACTTGGCTTTCTAAAATGTGCTTGTCCCCAATAATGATTTGGCACACTACAAACTCTGGTACTGTGCCTCTTTAGTTAACTGTTAAGATCATAAAACAGGTCATTTGTAAGCTGAATTAATAGTTTCTAAAAGTTTATTGGCAGGCTGTACCACAAAGAGGCAGTTAAAGCTAATTTATGTAGCATTTGTCTGAGCTGTTTGTGGGATAATGAAACCATCTGACTGTAAAAAAAAAAAGTATTGTCACATATGGTCTAATTTCAGATAATCTCCATCTTTTCTTGTTTGTTAATGAGAAAGTCAATGTCACACATTGATGGGGCGGATTGATCCAAGCATGCCAATTCAAAATGCAGTGTGTCTTTGTTTCTCCCTGATTAACAAATTGTCCTTACTGAATTATTTCATGAAATTGGAATTGAAAAAAATAAGAAAACAATCTTTAGAACCGTGTCTTGATTATAAGGAATAAAAATAGTATTTGTTTAGTTTTTGAATGTTTTTTGACATTCAGATTTTGATGAACAATCGAACCGCATCATGTCAAGTCCGCATCCGTTTAAAGGAACTTCGCTTAGAGAAATCGTGCACTCTGGGCATGTTGTTGCTTTCACTGGGGTTTTGCGACATATTCTGACACATTGCTCATCAGAGGATTCACGTTAGCTGTCTGTGACGCTGCAGGAGAGACGTGAGCAAGTGAAAGCTTATCACTTTTGAAAGGACTTGCTGGGCGTCCCCACTGTGTTGACTTGCCCCATGCAGATCATTGTCTTGGTTGTCTGAGTCTGTAGCTTGATCTCCCTGTGTGGGTGTTTATCATGTGCCAATTATTATTGTCTGACTTTATTTTTTATTTTCACAAAAGATAGTGTCGGTTTATGGTGGGACTACAGACTGAATATAAATGGCTTTGACATGAAATGAAATCCTCATGGCTCTAATTTCACTTTGTCTGGTCTGTTTCCTGTGATCCACACGCTGACCCCAAAAGGTGGTAGAGTGGTTTCAAGTCCTGCTGTAAATTTGATTATCATGTCAAGACATCAGCCTGTTCGGGCTGGAGAAGGGTGGTCGATTCTGTGGCCAATGTTAATTCTTACACTTATATTGTGAAAGATGAGAAGGCCTGTTCAAACCCCTTTATATCTCTTTGTGGAATTCAAAGAAGGGAGGAGCCCTCACACAAGAGCTTCCTGTCAACACATTGAGCAATCCAGAGAAAATGGGCTACAAAGGTCTGCCCGTGGTAATTTGTGCACGCGTGTTACACATGTCTTCACCTTGGGATTTCACATAACAAGGCACTTGTCAAGCCATCAACATTTGACTCAACATGCTGTCTCTGTCACTTATTGCCCACGTTTCACCTTTGCACCCTTTCACCTGGAATTTACTTTCTCCCTATTTGGCATGTTGCTTTTGTCCGTGTGAGTGACACCAATGCCATTGCAGGTGACAAGGAAGGAGTGCCAAAACTATTGCCTAAGATTATGCAACCAACAAGCGTGACAAGTGGATCTGGCCAGGAGAGGCATGATGACTTCAATTTGACTGCAACAGGTATGATAGTAATATGATTTTTCATATAATATAATGTGTGTGAATTGTATTGTGTATTTTGTTGTGAGTCTCCCAGACTTGTACTGCAAGCTTTCGGGGTCATCATCCAGATTTGGGTCGAGACCTTTTTCAGTCCAATCACACAGAATGTTGGTAATCTCCATAATTAAAATGCTTGAAAATCCTTTGTAAACAGGTTCTCATGCAGCCTATGAAGCTCTGTTATTATCATGTGCATTATGTATTTTTCATCAACTGAAAAAGGAATTGAGCTAAATCCTGTCATGCTTGGTAAATTTAATCTGCTTGCAGTGACTGTGGTCCAAATTGATGACAAATAGCTCGCAATGACAAATTGTTGCTTTTTATTTGTTTCTCTTGACAGGTGTAAGCACTGCTGTCTGTCAAAGATATCCAAGAATGCCCTTCTGTCCTAAATTACCTGCCTAAAGATTCATTCACAAATGTTCACATAAACTTACAGTCCAGATGAGTGCTTCAAAATGCATGCATTTTTTATGAATGAAGTTACAAATACAATACTACAACTGTTAACCTGGAAATACATGTTACTGGAGTCGTAAATGAACTTTGATCCCATGAGGAAAGAAAGCAATAGTTGTAACAGAAAAACATCATAATAAAACTGTATACTGTACAAAACAAACAAAAAAAAAACATCTATCTGTTTCTCCCAAGACATTTGAGTGCAGCAGAAACCAGCGCAGATTCACATGGACTCTCAAGCGAAGGTTCAGAAGAGGAGGGCAGCTGTGGCAACAACAACAGCAGCGCCTGATGGTGGCTACGCCTGGTTCGTCTCACTCTCCTGCTTCGTAGTCTTTGGTCTGACCTTTGGGGTCATTAAAGCCTTTGGTGTATTCTATGTTGAGATACACAAATACTTTGAAGCCACAGCAACAGAAACATCATGGATCACCTCTATCGCTGTGGCTACCATTCACATTTTAGGTGATTATGAACTTTTTTTCAAAAATTATTGATTAAGTACATAAATCTTTAAAATATAATCCAATTTATTAAGTTGTTTGAAGTGTATACAGTAGAAGGACATCAGTATGTTTCCCTCCACTTGATGTCAAATGCTTCAGATTGTGACCACTAGGTGGCTCTCTCCTACATCTTAAAAAAACGTGAAACAACAGGTCCTTTCTTGTGTTGAGTAAACTGTACCGCCTTAATCTCCAGTATTCTGATGGGGTGGGTAAAATTAATTATCATCTGCTGCAAATGTATGCCAAGTCAGACAGTGACACTAGGATTCATTTTAAAACTCTTAAACCTCTTAAGTCTTATGTGGTTTAACTTAATGTCCATCTTCACTGAGAATATTGATCAAACAGGATTACATTTGAAGATAGCATTTTCATTTAGGCATGTTGAAAATTAATAACACGTCTTACCTGCTGTGAAGTGCTTTATTTACAGTATACTGTTTTTTTGTAATTTTGTTGCCCTGAATAAATGTACCCTACTGTATATATGCTGAATAGTATTATATGTACATGTCCTGCGTGTCCCTCTGCAGCTCCTGTAGCATCTGCTCTGAGTGCTCGCTACAGCCATCGCTCTGTAGTGATAATGGGTGGACTAATTTGCAGCTTGGGAGTCGTGACTGGGGCTTTTGCTGGTAACCTGATTGAACTCTACCTGACAGTGGGGTTCCTAAATGGTGAGTGGTTAGCATACATACAACATACAACACAAACTGAGACAATTACACACAAATTTGATATTAACTGGTGTCCTCTGCTGCAGGTTTTGGTTATGCATTAACCTGGACCCCCACAGTGACCATGCTGGGCTTGTACTTTGAGAAGAGGCGTCCGGTGGCTAATGCCTTGGCCAGCGCTGGAGAGTGCATTTTTACCCTTGTCCTCACACCCCTGTTCCAGCTGTTGATTGATAGTTACTCTTGGAGGGGTGCTTTGGTGATCCTGGGGGGACTGCAGCTTAACCTGTGTGTGTGTGGGATACTGCTGAGACCCCTAAAAGCCACAAGAGATGTGGTTTGTGTCAGTGAGGTCGAAGCAGAAGAGCAAGGCTTTTCGCTGGAATTGCTCACAAAAGAGGACTCGGAGCAGAGCAAAGCAAACTGTCAAGAGACAGAGCAGCTGAGAATATATGAGGGCTTTGATCAAGGGACAGTCGAGGTACATCTTCAAGACCCTGAGGAGATACCCAATTCAATTAAAGACTCAAACTGCAGGAATAAGAGGACTGAATTAAGGACCAAAATCCTGCGATATGTAGATTATACCCTCATCACCAATACGCAATTCATGGTCTACTCAATGTTTGGGGTGTTTGCTGCTCTGGGTTTCTTTGCTCCAGCGTTGTTCCTGATTCCTTATGCTCGCAGTAAGGGGATTGAGGAGTACCAGGCGGCTGCGCTCATGTCCATCTCGGCTGCGCTGGACTTGTTTGGAAGGGTGTTCTTTGGCTGGGTGGCAAACCTGAGACTGGTGGAGATGGTACATTCAGTTTAAGAAATGTAGAGGAAAGTAGTATTAGTCTTCTCGCCTTTAAAGAAGCAATGTATTGTATTGTCTGCACAGGTCTAGGTCGAAGGCAACATCATTGCAACAGCTGATGCACAGTCTGTTTTCTTTTGTCTCTGTTCCTACCAGGTGCAACAGCTGACGGCTACAGTGATTCTGCTGGGTACTGTGTTACTCCTCTGCCCACTGGCCTCCTCGTTCTTAGAGCTGGCTGCTGTCAGCACAGCTTATGGCCTGGTGTATGGTGCTGTTGTCTCCATCCACATCACTGTGCTGGCTGAGGTTGTGGGCGTCCACAGGCTTGGAAGTGCACTGGGATTTTTCATGCTCATACGCAGCAGCGGAGGGCTGCTTGGACCACCCATCGCTGGTGAGCAAGAAAGATGCTTTGATAGTCAACTGCAAGTACATAGTGTACCAACTGTGCATATCAAAAAGCAATGGATTTCAGCTTTGAGTAGTTGCTGTAATATTCCCTGTGATCCACTCCACCATGCTAACTGGCTGCGATAGTGAGAAATAAACAAGAAGCTGCACAGAGTAAAATTGAATAGTATTGAATTTATTGTGTGTTAACATTTCTGTTAGCAGAGCTTCAGAAAAAATCCAAATCATTAACTCCAGGTTACAGAGTCTGCCATTCTCCTTATCCCTTTCTTCCATCACATTAAATCACACAATGAATGTGCTTATACACCGTTCTGCATTGTAAGTCCAGCCCAGTGAGCCTATTCAGTGAAAATGAGATTTTTATACCTTCCTGACATGCAGCACCACCCCTCAATTAATCATGGATTTTGTCGATGGTCCATCCCACAGGATATGGGGAGTTTTATATTCAAAGAGCAACTATGCAAAAATTATAATATCTGGATGCTTTATGGTTGTGTTAATTTCATGGCCGAACGCCCAAAGATTCTTTTTTTTTTTTGTGCGTTAAATGGAGTTTCTCCCCCACTGAATTTCCGTGCAGTCACTTGAGACATTTGTCCTAACTCACACACTGTGATGGAATAATTGTGGTAAAATAACAAAAGGAGAAGAAAAAGTCAAAACATCTTGTAAATACCATGACTTCTTTAAAGCCGCAATAACTTTTTGTTTGTGCAGTTTTTGTGCAGTTTCTATACATTCACACATCCAAGCAGAGTTTGTGTCAACCTGACAAATGTAAGCCCAGTATTCACTCTCCTTTCAGCTCCACTTTGCACTCCACCAACTCCTGAGATAATCTGACTCTTTAGCTGCTAAATGCTTCACTATGTCCACCAGATGGTTGCTAACCTTGCAGTGCTGGGCAAGTAGTGTACAGTGGGTTTGTGGAGGTTTTTCGGCTGAAAACAGCAGCCTGCTGATACTGAAAATGAGAGTGAACCAAAACATTAAAGTTGGGCCAGGAAACCAAAACAATGAGCTGAAAGACTATAAATTGTTCTTAAGAGCTGAAGGATTTTGCAGAGTTAAGTGATATTTCTCTGTGGGTTGATCACTACAAGCAACCACTTTCACATATACACAATCAGTTGATCAACTGTTAAATTTAAATATTTATTATAGCAGCTGTAAATCATGGTAAGATGCATAAAAACATGCAAAACATTATAAACAGCTACCGAATAGGGTGTTTTTCATAATCTACATCTTACTATTATAGTACAAAATCCTTCCTGTCTACTTTTCACGATGTACATTTTCACACTTGTGATTCGTTGCGAAAATAAATTAGGGATAATGACTCTTAGGTGTAATATTTGTGGGTGTAATATTTTGTATCCCACTGCTCCTCCATAATACATTTAAATACAGTAAATGAAGAAGTTTTGGCAGTGGCTGGATAGTGTCTCAAATGTACCAGCTACTTTGGCAATCTGTTTGCACTTATCTTCATAAATCTATTCTCTTGTGAAAAATAAAAATTGTCAGCTATTAAAATAAAATGGCAGTTTAAATGCATCTGGTAGAGAGTGGGGGGGGTTGTCCTACAAACCAACGAGCATTTGAACCCGATTATTGAAGTTACAACCTGTTTTCACACACAGCTTGACACAATAGAAGTAAATACAGCCAGAAAAACACCCAGCTTGACTTTGGCACCCATGCACTGCTAGCCACCCCTGCCAGAAAGTGTCCTGCCTCTGAGCACAGCCGGCAGTAAATCAGCTGGGGAAACTGTGTCTCCAAGAGTGAAAAAAAACACACTGACCTCATTGTAGTTTGGATTCATTTGATAGTATTTATGCATTTACAAGAGGGCTGTTAGTGAAGCAAAAAAAAAAAACAGGGAATATGAGTGATTAGAGTTTTCGAAGGGTGACAAGGTGTTACTCTTTCACTCTACAGGAAGTGTGTGTTGAAGGACTTGGACTTTCCTTTTAGGGCTGTATATGGTCAATTGTCAATTGTTACTAGAAAAAAAAAAACAAATATTTTCCAACCCCAAGTTCTTAAACTATCTTATTTAGATTAAAGTGATACCACTGCATCTAAAAATGTTAAATTTAAGACACTGCTAAAGGCTAACACTGACCTCAAATCAAGTTATGTGCTAATTGAAGACAAGTCGATATAAATGTAGCCTGTGGTGCCCTATTTATAACTTAACGTGGTCCCTCTGACACAGAGGCTATTTCTACCTTATTTACTGTACCGTTCGGTACTTTCAGCACTTTGAGGAGCAGAGAGTTGACGGATGCTGAGGATGCATCAAAGCGTTCTAATTATGTTTCTGTCATGGGAGGAAAGCACTGGCATTAGTGCCTTAGGATGAAATTAATCTTTCCGCAATCCTCCTCTCCTTACCACTGCCTCAGTCTTTTGCCTCATTTATAATCTGCCGTTAAATGAAGCCAAAATGATAACGTAATTGTGATATTGCTGTGTTTTAGCCAGCATGGATGTGACTGTGTCCAAGCTGCAAATAACTCACACGTGTACTTTTCATTTTAGGATACTTCATTGACAAGATGAGTGATTACGGGATGGGTTTCATCATGGCAGGAGTGGCTCTCATTGTCTCTGCCCTCTTCCTGCTCCTCCTCCGGCAGATAAACCGCAGGGGTCAGAGGTCGACCGCCAAGAATCACAACATGCATACGCACAAAATGGGACAAAGCCTCGGAGCTGAAGCCAAAGAGCTTGGCATGACATGAAAGATGGAGAACTAGTTCCTGTTGCTGATGGACACCGAATTGGATCTCACAGTCAAAAAATGGAAAAGTTACAGATAAAACTGAGGCAGCGGAGTTTAGAGGTCTAAAACAAATTGTCATGTGAAGAATCATCTCCAAGATCAGGGCCGTCAGATTTCAATGGGAGTCTGTCTGTAAGTGATTAGATTCTTTCCAGTCAGTATGATCTCAGTCTGTCACACAGGCAGCAGAAAGTGTGTGTTTGCAGGGAATGATGAAATTGATAAATCCTTTAGACAGTATGCAGCAGATCTGCAGATTAGGGTGGGAGGGGTGGTCAGACCAGGGGAGGGTTTTGTTTTGTTTTTGTTTTGAATGTCACCAATAGGATCAGTTCTGCGGGGGCATTTAAAATCACAATTCTTTAAAAAAAATATATATTTCATTTTGCACATGAAACCAAATTACCTGATTCATAAAATAAGATTGTAGAGGATGGTTACTGGTAGTGTAGCAGTCAGTAGTTCTTGCTTCAAACATAGAGAGTGGCTGGAATATTTGTGAAATGTGATGCATCATTTGTTTGAAAATTTGCCAGTTGCTAGTTTCATTTCTAATGTATTTGGTTAATTTGTGAAAATGAATGTCAATTAAATACATGAAATGTTTAAATCAGGCTAATTAATCTTAAATAGTTTATGTTTTTCCTCTTATAGTTATTTATTATCAAAGGAGTTTTACCAATGTTGTACAATATTAAGGTACGGGCAGGAGGGTTTTACAGTTTTTTTTCTAAGTCAATGTATGTGTTTTACATATGTTGTCTTAAAAGTCACTCTTTGTTATTGAATGTTTTAATCCTTTATTGCACATGTGTCATGCATGGATGAGCGTTGGTTTGTGCAGTGAAAATGTGACTATGGCTCCCTCCAGTGAGAAGATACTGATGTTGCATTTCCAACCTTCACAGCTGCAGGGCTGAGCTGAAAAGTGGAGATAAATGCAGATATTCCACCACAGGGAACTTGAGAATTTACAGATATAAACCAAATAGCCCTATTACAGTAAGTTGCATGAACATTTTGTTTGGTTCAGTGATTAAAACCGAAGCAAAATATATGAGCCATGCACCTTTTAACTCACGAGCCTATTTTAATCAGCCTCAAAAATGAACTGAAGTGTTAAATTACTCTGCTGAAGCAACAAAATAAGTTCTAAATGGTTCAATGAATTTCTTTCCAAGTTATGTCCCAATGCAGCCTGAAACTGTGAGAGAAAAGTGTTTCTTCATTTTCTTCCTCTGCTGCAGAATGTTTGGTATGTGCAACCATCAAGAAAAGTAGCTTTCATAACCCCGAACCAATGAGAGGCACCAGATAAACATCTTCAACGTGGTATAATGCAAACACAACAAGTATAAATAAACATGTCACTCTCTATAAACCTTCAATAACAAACTCCAAACCAAGGTTTACAAACAGTGGCCCACACTGAAATCCCCCCCACATTAACTGACACAAGCTATATACACACACACACACACACACACACACACACACACACACACACACACACACACACACACACACACACACACACCAAAGGAAAGAGACTGCAGAAAAGAAAACTTACCACAACAAGAGAGCTGGTCACAAAATACCACAAGGCTTTGATCTGCCAGACAGGAACAAAGACATAATCCATGTTTCATAGAAACTCTACATGAAAACCAAACATACACACACACACACACACACACACACACAGTATGCAATGGTTGACTGCCAAGAGAGAGAAGAGGCCACCTATTATCAGGGATAGGAAGACTGCCGGTTGAAAATTATCAGAGGATTTCCAGTCCAGTGACGCTAACATCTACTGTTACTTGATACATGAGGAAGTCTGATCTTTTAATTACATATCAACCTGCCTGAATAAATATCCTTGAATACTGACTATGATTTGAACATGGATGTTCATTGTGTAAAGTCATTTTAAAGGGGCAATCCGCAGATGTGGTATGAAGTTCAGTTTACTGATCATGAGGAGTACGACCCAGCCTGTGAAAACAGCTGTTTGATGTATTTTGTAAAGAGATTTTTAAAGTTTGATGATGGATGATGTCATTGTGGTGTCATCAGGGTTACGTTGGCTTGGACTTCAGACTTAACAGTTTTTAACAGAAAGCCTGCGTTACAAACAGGAGGCTTGGAGTCTGAAAGAAGTTGACAAGAGGCAGGGAGGGTCTCATGAGAGGTGCTATTAAGTTGCATTATGGGAAATTAAGGGTTTAGCATTTGGGGGGCTTGACCCGATTTTGACTGCTCTTTTTCTAATTGGTTCTCTTGTGAGTCCCCCTTATTTTATAGAAGTGCTAAATAGTTACTCACCTACATCAAAGGTTCAGATACTGGCTTTTTTAAAACGCTGACAGCAGATTATTTAGTCATACTAACTAGGATGTTTGTTCATGCACAGAAGTGGCAGAGAACTGGTGAGAAGATCCCATTTCCTTTAACTTAACTTCAAGCAACTAAGTGGGAGAAATTCAGTTTTCACCCGGCTCCCAACCCGCTGTGCTGGTGGGTATGTGTGTGTGTGTGGAGCAGCAGGGATATGGGACTGTCTACATTTGACCCTGTCAACATCAACTCCAATAAAGCAGAAAGCACAGGAAGAGCTTTGATGTCGGACAGGACTTACTGAAGCGCCTCCCGGTCACTTTGACCCCACAGTGAAACCCCTGAGCACAGAGTCGCGATAGAAACAGCTGAAAAAGTTTTTCAGTTTTTTTCTTCTCTTTCTTTTTTTTTTTTAAGCCAACCTTACTCACAGGGGTCATGTTGAGGAATGCTGCACAACTACCTGAGTTCAAAGTGCTTCGTAGCAGGACGAGGGGAGAAGAGGGGAGATGAGGAGGAGGATTGGGAGGAAGAAAGGGAGAAACAGAAATGAGAGAGCAAGCGAGAAGAGAGGATAGATGATAGCTGCATGTGGAAGAGGAGAAACCAGGTGGGAGAAAGTTGGGAGAAGGAAAAACAAAGGGAAACCTCAAACTGAGGATGAGCACAAGAGGGGAGAGGAGCAGTAGGTAAGATACAGTAAAAAAAAAAAAAAAAGAAAAAGGCAAAGGAAAATGATAAGCTTAGAAGAGAATGAAGAAAGAGAAGGAGAATTACAGAAAAGAAGCAATTACTGTATACTGGAGCAACCCTCAGAGCTAGCAGGAGCAGAGTACTGATTTGTGCTGGTTGGGGCCATTAGGGGATAAAGGATAATGACACTGGAATGAAATAGTCATGAAGGGAAGCAGTTGAGATTGGGCATGGCTCTAACCACCTCACTGATTAGAAGAGAAGACAAAGACATGCTGGTAATGAGAAACGATTAGTGTAGCTACAGGTAGTTATGCTTAATGAGGATAACTACCAACCAGCCCCACACACCACCTCCAGAACTGCACTCCAAGACAGTGTATTACTTTAAACATGGGCAGTTCCATGTGCATATGGTCTGATGCTGATTCTGAAAAATATTTGGCTCTTTTTCTGAGTGATTCTCCAGAATATAATTCACAATCAGCCAAAAGCTCCACAGCTTCAGCTTCCAAAAACACTGCCAATAAAAAAAAAAAAAGGAATGTTTTTATTTTTAAAAGACTCCCTGTGCAAGTTCAAAAAAATCATTTCACTTCACAAGACTGTGGCTATATAAGAGTGAGTTCTGTATGTAAACACACAGATTTCAAAGATACTGGAAAATAGTGAGGAGAGAGCAGACAGATGTTTGGTCTACGTGAACCCTTAATCAACTCATCTCCATTTCTTCTGTACTCTGTTTCGTGCTCTGTTCCTTTTCCTCCCCTGATCTTCCTCATCTTCGCCTATTTTTCCATCAGCTAGCGCCAGCCCGCATCTTTAAACAGCTGTCCCACTTTAACTCCAGTCATCGAGGTCATTGTGTTGCCATACCTCACATAGACTTAAAAAGGCATGCATTCAAAGGCACACAGAAGATACACTGCTTCATATTTCCGACATTAGAAATATGTTTTTGTATAGTTTAGATGCAGTGGAACATTACCAGATTATATTACCAGCACAGAAAGTTTTCCATCTCTTCCTTGATGGATCTAATAGTCTAGTGAAGCGGCCGGCGCCAGTCCCACTCTCCTTGTCTCTTTATAGCGAAATAAATCCACAACACAATCTTGCTCTTATAAGCATCTATGCTTTATGTGTATATGTGTTTTGTTTCATCACATCGCTCAAACTCAAATTGTACAAACAAGACAAACGCAAATCCTATCGTTTACTAAAACAGCCATTAAGTCAGAGATTTATCTGCCCTCTTCTGCTGCTCGAGGTTTATATTCTATCAGACACACATTAAAAACAAATGCTGGGATGCAGCCAATGCTCAGTGAACTTTCTAAATGTGACACAGAAAAACAGAGCAAAGCAAATCAAAAAGGAGAAAATTAGTTTTGAGTGAACTGAGTCAAAGCGCTATTCTACAGGCATAATTTAGGATTGTATAGTGAGTATTGTAAGTATTTCAGTTTATTATTGTACTGCATATGTGCTGAGACATTACAACACATAAGTGCAACTTTCACTCCTCTCCAAATCCAGCAGCCTAATTCCAACCAATCACACCTAACCCCCGACCCTTCAGGCTGACCTCTGACCCCAGCTGACAGCCCTGATTTGGAATGAATGGTTTTGACAGGCTTCTGCTTCAGGCTTTAGCACACTCACACAAGAGTGGCCCACCAGAGAAGCGTGCTAACAAACATTAAAGTGACAATAAACTGATAAATGACCTGTTAACCTGGTTAGCGTTTTTTTTTAGCCATGCTAGAAGTCTGTCTGTTGGTCCACCACTTTGGACTGGACTGAAATGCAACAAACGCAACAAATATTTGATTCATTACCAACAAATTTGGTTCAGATGTTCATGTTCCCCCCAGGATGAATTGTAATGGCAGTTTCATTAGAGAAAGACTTGGTCGAATAGTTCAGTTTATGACCAAATAAAACTATTTACGTTCCCATCAGCCTCAGCTGCTCTTTGTGTTTGGTGGTAATTAGAAAATGTTAGCATGTTGCCCCAATCGAGAAATTAACCAGACATACATTTGCCAAACCAACCAGTTAGTCCTCATCCTTAAACTCTTTTCTTTAGTAAAAACAGAACATTTCTGAAATACTTATGTTAAAGTATAAATCTCACCGTTGTATCTCTTTTGAAAGTTTGTTTAAATGTATGTATAATTGTAAGTGTTTTTAAGGGGTATTACGTAGCTACTTTAGTGGCTGGCTAGAACATGCTATCTTGCTGAACTAAGATGATGAACATGCTAAACAGTATATCAGTACAGTTTATTTTTCTGTGCCAGTCTTTATAATTTATTCAACAGTAAGAGTTCACATTTCTGACAAGTAAAGATTGTTTATTAGGTCCGTTCAACCACAAATTTCCCATCTCAGCCAGACATGTGGTGAATTACAGAAGCAACTGTCATAAGTCACAGGTGTATAGATACAACAATTTCATATAGTATACATATGACACCTTGTAAATTCTTTGGGTACACAGACACACAAACCACAGACTATCAACACAAACAAATGTGTATAAACCTCTGGTTGTCCTCTAAACTCACATATCCCATCCAGATGCAAAGGCTGAATCTCATTATGAAACATGTGCTAGGTATTCCCATTTGGCCTGTATAAAAATCGTATTCACTGCGCTCGTATAATCGTCACATGCGGACGAAGGGCTGCCCTGACCACTGAGCCAGATCCTTCTCTGGACGGCTACCAACTATTACACCATGAATCAGACTGGAATTAATCTTGACCATCAGAGAGTATAAACATGTGATATGAAACCCCCTGAGACTCACAGACACTCCACCCTGCAGAAACAGCTACAGTGCATCTATGCCTGCAGACAACGCCTCACAGATGAAAGGAATTTCTGCCTTTTGAGTGGAGAGTCTGTCTCTGAACAGGATTTATGGTTTCACACTCTCATTCATAACTGTGCAAGTGGATGCTGCGTCCAAACTGAATGTCACGTCCTGTTTAGCTGTTGGGAATAAATACTGTATGTGTATCCTTTTGTGTGTGTGTGGAGTTACAGTACAGTATGTGTGTGTTCAGGCCCTCAGTGGGACGGGATGTGTGAATCTTTCACCCCTTATTCTCTTCATGAATACAGTTGTTTACGTTATTTAATATTCATGTATGCTGTACACTCCAGATTTAGAAATGAGGCAGGATGTGGATGATGTCTGTGCGAACATGTCTGGAAATATTACACACTGTCTGCTGCTGGAAACTGTGCAGCTGCAGATTTCCCCCCATTAAGAACTGAATATGGTTCAGGGCGTGGTACAGTTTTAGAAAATTATGACAAGACAATACAACATACATAGTGCTGAATACTGATTTAATTCTTGAGAATTCCATTCTACGCGACTACACCAGGTCTGTCTACAATCTATTTTGCCCCTGTAGCAAATATTCTTGGTTCGAGAAATGGTTTCTACATACCCAAATTACTTACAAAATCAAGAAGAATTTAATTTACTTTATTTGTAAGGTTACAAGTTATGTTGAAAAAAAAAGCTGTTATGACAACACAGTTTTTCCCACTATGTGACAGCTGGTACTGGATTTTATATTAGATGTTAGATAACATTATATTTGGGGATCTTTACACTCAGGGACCCCAAGACAACTCTTTGTACTAGTTACCCTTACATTCACCAGTCACATTGATTAGTCCTCATTCTCACTTCAAAGTGCGTCAGCCTGAAACATTAAAAAAGCAGCTGGAGCTGACATAAACCAACAAATAAAGCAACGTTAGCTTAACTTGCTAGTTAGCTGCAGCTGATAATATCTGCACACTACAGTTGTAGATGGCCGCCGCCTAGTTTGTCTAGGCATTTGTCTATATCTTTGTAAAAAGAATTTCATGTGGTAAAGTTGCCACTGTTATCATTGTAACCTGCATCATGTGCAGAAGCTTGAGTGGTAATTTCCAAAACATATATTGCACTTCTGCATCATAATAATGACCGTAGCATTAGGTTAATCACTATGTCTTTCTCACACTTTCATTCATCCAGTCTTTTCCACTGCCATCTTCCAATATCTCTATACGTCCCCCCTATTTGCTCTCCTATTTTTCTCTCACTTTTTCTCTTTACTTTGTCTTTTGTGTAAGTGAAGCCTGGGCCTCCCAGTGACATAAGCCCTGCTCCTGTAAAACTAATAATGACTGAGATTGGTGCGGGCTTAGCATTCTTTCTCCCTTTCAGCGCAAGACACTGAGAATGGAGAGAGAGGAGGGGACGGGAAGGAGAGAAAGGTTTAGTGGCAAGTAGGGGGTGAGATGGGGGGGGTGTCCTAGTTTGAGAGGGAGCAACTTGAGAGATACATGAAGAAAGAAGGGAAGATGGAGAGAGAGAGAGAGAGAGAGAGAGAGAGAGAGAGAGAGAGAGAGAGAGAGACAGAGAGGCCCCTTTCCCTGAAACACACCACATGCTTTCATTCTTTATGGGTCAATGCAACTGAAATCGCACTGCATCCTCTCCAAACATTTTAAACAGACACACATGGACATGTATCCTCATTCAGGTGGGTTCAAGCATTAAATCATGCATATCCCGTCCCTAAGAAAAATCAGGAATGTAAACAAGGATGTTGGACAGTTAATAGTTACACCGCATACATGCTTGAACTCTAAACTAGCAGTGCACAAGTATTTTTCAAACCCCACACTTAGCAAAGCCATTGATTTTCCCTCCTACAATACCACACGTAAGCAAAACATTTGAAGCAAAGGCACAGAATATAAAATATGTCCCAACCACACATTGACACAACTCTGTCAAATTCACATAAAGATCACCAGATGTGCTGCGAGATGCAACAAGGGGGCAAGGGGGAGGTCTCACACGCACTGCCCTCTCTAATGCTCTCCCCTCCCTCCTTTCACCTCCCCTCCTCTCTCCCAGAAACATGTGCGTGCGCTGTGCCAGCAGACAGTTTCAGCTCTCAACAACTGATGAACGGACAGCTGCTGTTTCTCCCTTCCCCTCCTTTTTGCTCCCCTAACTGTTCTCCTCTTTTCGCTTCTTCCCCACACTGCCTCTATTCATCCCCTCTGTACTTTCCCCTTCCTTCCCTCTACTTTGTCATTCTACCCTGCACTTTTCCTCAGGCGGATATAAAGGCAGGTCCTGTTGAAGGGAGAGGGGCTTGTGTAATCTCTGGCTGCACATGAGCACCGGAGAGTTATTGCTTCAGCTGGAAAGGCACCGCAACAGAGGACTTGGAACCAACTAAAGGACAAACTTTGGGATAAGCAGAAGAAGAAGGAATACTTCCAAGACAGGAAGGGAGGAGAAGGGGGGAGAAGCAGAGAGAGTTTGGAGTTGGGGTGCAGGACACAGACCATGCCGGGCTCTGTGCTGCTGCTTCTGATGCTGTCCCTGTTGGTCCTGTCCACAGGAAGTGATGCCAGACGAATCAGGAAAAGAGGACTCAACCATAAGGTGGGGCTGCTAACCTCACCTTTGACTTTTGTATATGTGCACATGTGAGTGTGTGGCTTTCTTCTCTATCTCTTGATTATGGATGTTTGCAGAAAAGCCTCCAAAGTGGAAGTAGGTGAGAGATCACAGCGTTACAGTACAATACCGGCTCTGTTACAGAGAGCCGGTTTCACACTGCGAGAGCAGTTTTGTGGCTGAGGTGAGAGGTGGTCAAGTTGACCTCAGACATGAAGTGCAGTAACCCAGTGATGAAAAGAAGAGTGGTGCAAATTAACAAAGTGCATTCACTCAAGTACTGTACAAAAAAGAATAGTTCAGCATTTTGGGAAATACAATTTATTCTTGCTCAAAGTTAGATGAGAAGATTGATACCACTGTTAAATATGTCTTATAAATAAAAAGGCTTTAGCCAACAGCTAGTTAGCTTAGCATAAAGACTGGAAATAGTGTTAGCATGGCCCTGTCCTAAGGTAACTAAATCCACCTAACAACTGATCTAAAGCTCACTAATCAAAATCTTGTTTGTTTAATCTGTATTTTGTGCCTGTGGGCTAAGCTAAAATTTTCACCACTGATAAAGACACAGTTGGAGCAGTCTGAGCAGACATGCTTTGATTTTGAAGCATGAAAAATCTTCATGGACAGGGGAAGTTTTTTAGTTTTGACGAGGAGCCGAAAGTGGAGTGTGCAACAGGTTGGAATAAGTTGCTGATTTTCAGATTTCCATATGAGTAATTGAAGAGCACACTGGATGTACAACCTTTGTCTTTGTGTGTGTGTGTGTGTGTGTGTGAGTGTGTGTTCATGGTGGATTATTAGGGCAGGAACTGAACTTGCAGACCGGGCCCCTGCTTGTTAACTCAGCTCAGTGTAGCTGATTGATCATCTCTAACAAGGGCTCACTGTAGCGTGCTGCCCTCTCTTTCTTTTCCCCTCTCTTGCTCTCTCTCCTCCTCTGTGAAACTTCTCGTTCTTCAATGTTCTCACTTTCGTACTGGTTTATGCCCTCATTGGCCCATCTCTCTCTCAATCTCACCACTCTTATCTCTCTTCCTTTCTCTCACATGCGGTAGTTAGCCTTTCACCCGCTCTCTGGCCTGCTTTCTCTTCCCCCTCACCCATGTGTCTCTCTCAGGATACCACCCCTCTGTTTTCCCTCTTTCAAATGTCTTTCTCTCTTCTCCTCCTGCTCTCAGGATGGGCCAAAAGCACCGTCTTGCTGGACGCTGCTTCAAAGCTGCTGTAATTGGAACATGCTGAGACGGCTGTGCAGATGGAGTTTGTCTTTTTCCCTCTGAACCTTTTCATCTCTGCATCTTTCCATCTTTCATTTTTTAACCACCTCCCCCTCACAGACATATACACACACACCCTCAGCCTCATTCATAACACCAGGGATGTGCAGAAAGACAAATTATAGTCACTGAGTGTTTCATGTAGGCACTAAACTATGGAATAGTGTGTCTAGAAAAGAAAATCTGTAAGAATTTGTAACAATACCAAGGCCACCAGCATGCTCACTACCTGTGCTGCATTCATGGTCTGGTTTGTTCTTTGAATATAGAAGATTTCAGCAGATTTTCAGACACATTGAATTCAAATTATTCAAATCTTCTAGACACATCATGCCAAATCTATTTTGGTTTAGTTTTAGAAAAGCATAAATGCTCTTTAAGAAACACAGAATAGATTTGGACCCTTAAGTTATCATTATTATTATTATAACTTGTTTAACACTTCATTTGTGTTATTTTACCGTAAACACAAACTTTTTTAGGACTACACATCATGTGAACACAATATAAACTAGGGTGGCAATTCCTCAACAAATTTCATTTAATCAGATTCAAAACAAATTAACATGCAATGGACTTAGGGCTTTTCAGGCCTCTTGGGATCTGAGATCACAAGGCAGTTGTCTGCTTTGCTCAGTTGATAATCTAGTCTTATTGATCAGTAGACTGTATTATTTTTAAAAAATAAAGATGTGTAATCACAGTCAATGTATATTTGAAATGTATTATGAAAATGTAAGCAGTCAATATTATATGCATTATGACACCTACACCCTCTCATAAAATGAGGTTTCTTAGCCTTCATATACTGTTTTTGCAGGAATGTGTGTTAAGTTCTTACCAGAAAGGGAGTTGTTTGACCTGAGATGGTCTCACTCACTAGGTGGCTCAGGGATCAGAGCCACGTCCACCATCTAGACCTCCCCCTGCCACAAGGTTCAAAGGTCACCAGTAGCACTTTTCAAATTTCCTCTTTGTGTTTGACAGAGAAACTGCCTGTCAAATAACACATAACATGTAATAAGGGTGGAGAAGTAAGATTAGGCATCAGAGGGAAGCTGACTATCAAGACAAACATATTTGATGGGTGGACGGGAAAATGGGTCTTAGACTCTCTCTCACATATACACACACACACACACACACACACACACACACACACAAAGACCGGTTGATCTACAGCCATAACACACCCTGGTTCAGACACCTGTCAGGGCATGTCAGTGTGCATCAGTAGTGTCTGAAGTAAGGCTACCACCACAAATCTTTACAGTTTCATTTATCTGATGTGAAGTGGTCTGTTCTGACAGCACCTGGTATTAAGACAGGGACCCTGCAAAAACCTGTATTCTTCCTGTTCTTGGTCTGGCTGGCTGTTTGACTTGGCCCAGGGCTGCTACACAAAACCAAACAGATCCGTGCTCTGCTTTGATGCTGAAGGAAATGTGTAGCTTTTAAGGAAATGATACTTTGTAAAGATAAGATAAGTTAACTGTATGTTACAATCCCAAATGCTTTCAAATAAGAGGGGAGCAAAGGATTCATGTCAGTGATTGAATTTAAGGGGATTAAAAAGGACATTTTGATTGCAGTGGTTGAGAATCATTACGTGTTAAATGTAACTGAGTTACACTGCCTGCATTTCTGCTGAACACAAGGAATGTAGTTTAGTTTATTATGGCTAAGAGTTGACAAATGCTGGGAATGCGTGACAAATGCAAAACAGTCTTGGCAAGCATTGGCTGTGCTGGTCACACCAGCATTTAATACTGTGAAATTTTGCGGAAATTGCAGTTAATTGTAACATAATCACCAAAATTTGTGAATTTCATTGTGAAGTTGAAGTAAATCCATGTAAAGTTTTGGATTGACTTCAGTTTTGGTAGTCTTAAACATGAACTTGTGTCCTTGAAGCAAGCTATCTTTGCAGTGCTTGCCTTAAAGTTGACGCAGAGCCGGGGAGTCCAAATGGTAGCGAATGTAGCTTATTAGCTGTGTTACACCCTCTACTGAACTTATTATCCCATTAGCGACCAAGCTACGCTAGCAAGTTTGTCACCTCAGAGAGCTTCATTGTTGCCCTTAAGTAACTTTTTTTAATTAACATGGGGGAGTAAACAGAACTGCAGGGAGAAAATTGAGAGATTCTGTGGGCGCTATTGTGACTGATTGGCTAGCAAGTTAGCAGTTAGCTAGCCAGCTGCAGGCCTGCAGCAGGTCACCAATTAGCCCTGCGAGTATAGTCACTACATATGCTTTGAGAACCAAATATTTAATAATTTCGCTGTACCGCTTTCCAGTGTGACCAGACCTTAAAGTACAAAACATATCAATTGCTCATTATAAAGTGAATATGACTGATTTAACTAGAGACAGATACTATTAATATGACTATCACCTACCACAGGTGGCTTGGTGGTGAAGTGGTTCGCACTTGCCCATAGGTGTGAATGTGAGCATGAATAGTTGTCTGACTCTATGTGTTAGCCCTGTGAGAAACTGGAGACCTGTCCAGGATGTACCCTGTCTCTCGCCCAATGTCAGCTGAGATTGGCTCCGGCCCATGTAGCTAATGGATGGAGGGATTGCAATAACTCAAAATCATCAAGACAAGACACACTCACTTACCTAAGTAAAGGTGAGGATTCAAATCAATTAAGCTTGTGTTGACAGCCTCAATGTCCATAATATAGATTTAGTGCCATCTTTTACATATTATTCTCACTGGGAGGTGCATGGTGTTGCATATTAATTAAAGGAGAGCTTTGCATGTTTGTCTCAGTTTAGTCATTCAAATTCTGGCATAGAAAACAATCAACAAACTGGCTATTTGCATGTTACCTTCTGACTTTAAATATGCATTTCACACAAACTTCAACATTCTGTATATTAGATGTGTCTTGGCTCATAGATGCAAAATATGTATATATGAAATAATATGATAATATATGATAATATGAAAATTCACTGTAATAAACAATCAACCTGAGGTTTTCTGTGAAACATGGTAACAAGGCTCAGTTCACAGTTCAGTGTCATTACATTTAGAAAGAAAGACAGTAAAATATCATCACATCCTAAATACTATCTCACAGTCTTACACACTGATAGGTAGACGGAGAAACCTGCGACCAGTCAGTTTTGTGAGCTGGTGTGAGCGGCTCTAAACAGGACTAATCCCAATCAGATGATGTGAGCCTGCTGGTCAGCAGCACATTACTGGATTTACACTGGAGCAGATTACCGTGAAGTGCCATAGGTACACACACACACCAAAAAGACAAACTCATTTTCGCATCAACCTCTGCTTCACTTTTTTTCCTACAGAGCCTCTGATGTCCAAGACATTCCTTTTATTTGGCAGCAGAGAGATTTTCTAAGTTATATCATGAGTCAATGAGAGATCACAGACACAGCTGCACTGGAATATATATAAAACTGTCTTGAAATTGTTCCACAATTTTTATTTTAATGGACAATAAAAAATTGGTTTCTGTTGCTGCAGCACTACAAGCAGAGAGTAGAGGGGTAATACAGCAGAGATTAGGGGAACTTCTATCACAGCCATCACTGTCACCTCTGGCTATGACTGACAGGTAGCAGACACTATGTCTAACCGTTTCCCCAAACTAATTAGCTGCTCTGCCACTCCTCATATGGGCTAACTCTATTTGACTGCATTTCAAGGTTAGACAAGACCGCTTTGCCAGTATGCCTACAGTTCAAGGATTGCTTTTCCCAGTTGTGCATCTACTTGTCTGTCTGACATCACTCACTAAAACTCTCATCTCTGACTGATTTGCAGGCTGTCTGTTTGCCTCACAGCTTAGCCTGCTGTGTCTCTATCTATCTGCACATCTATCTATCTTTCTGTCAACCTGACTGCTGGTTTAGAGGCAGGAAATGAGTGCTGACAACTCAAAAGCTAACCAGATGTGTCCTGTGGGCTACTTCATTTAAGAGATTTGAATTGACATTCATGAAAGAACACAGTTTTGCCTTGTTTACACATTTGTGCGCACAACCTTGACCCTGCAGTACGCCCATATAGGGCATATGCCTGCGTTTGGGTGGGTTTGTGTGCGTCTCTGTCTGCATGTATCCTTGCACAAAGGAAGGAGAAAATTTCATTATCTTTTTTGAGATCTCTGCATGGAACCCTGAATGCCCTGATCGCAGTGCAGTTATGGAGCCAGACAAGGTCTCCAGTGGCTTCTCCCCACAAACTCCCCGTATACCACAGAGCAAGAGAACTACAGAGAGAGACAAGGAAAGACAGACAGAGGAAAAGAGCAGTCAAGATCAATCATTATGCAGCCACCTTCATCAACATGTCATTCACACCAAAGACAGAGGAAGAAAGGGATAGGGAAAAAGAAATCAAGGAGAAAGAAAAAACAGAGAGGAAGAGAGATAATGACAATGTTGCAGACAGAGACAGACAGAGAGGGGGAACACATGCCCACAGATAGACATGAGCAACACACACCGGCCCGCTGGCAGTGTCTCTATGGGAGAGCAGAGCGGCAGACAGAAGTGTAAATAAACAATGTGGAACATCAGAGAGATGTGTGCAGCATTGTGTGATAGAGCTCAGGATGTAGAGCATGATGGTGGCGGGCCTTCTGCTGTACGAACACATGACACAACACAAGAGGAGCCTTGAGAGTTGCAAGAGCTGGATAACAGACATGTAAAATAAACATACGTTGGAAGCAGCATCTGTTCTGTTGGCTTAAGGATCTTTACAATGAACACACACTGAAGCATGAATGGCCTCAGCGATGTATGGCATTCATGTGGACAAGCAAGCTCACACTTTACACATGCAAACACACCATCACACACACACACACACACACACAGACACACACACACACACACACACACAATTTACACACGCATACACACATAAACAGGAAGGGTAGTTGACGTAGTTTGCAGGAGACGTTTGCAGGAGACTTTGGGAACAGATCGGATATAAGACAAGGGGAGGCGGCAGGAGTCATTATGTCATTATCCAATCACAGCAGACTTTGTAGTGGCCATTCATAAGATCTCATAGTACCAGGAGACACTGTGAACCACTGTTGCCCCACCGTTCTCACTTGTGAGCCAAGAATGACGGGTATGAAAGAAGTGTAGTCTACAGTGTGTGGGAGGACGTACAAGCAGAGGTAACTATACGTAATATAGTTAGGTGGCTCCTATGATACCTGGATAACATTATGGGAGTGCAATGATAAATCGATGAAGTACAAAGCAACAAGCTATAAACACAAGGTAGAGATTTTATCACCTTATAAAAGAGATACAACAGACTTTACTGGTATTACACTGGGGCAGATTACTGCTCAGTACACACACACTAGCCACTGCTTCACTTTTTCATTTGGAGCCTCTGATGTTCCAGACATTCCTTTTACTTGGCAGCAGTGAGATTTTCCAAGTTATATCATCTCCAACAACAGAGAGGAAATTCATAGCAAATCCAGTGCAGAGTATGTGAGACCACAGGCATGTCTGTGTTCATCATCACGCTGCAAATATAGCACTGTCATTGTAAAGTTAGCATTCATCTGGAGTCATGTTTCTGATCGTCAGTTCAATATTCAGCCCCTGTTTCAGTCTCTACTAACTCCTGAGAGAAATATCTGACTCTTTAGCTGCTAAATGCTCTAGTATGTTCGCTAGCTAGCTGCCGACTTTGTCTGTGTGATGTTTGGTGCTGAGCAGGTAGCGTATAGTGAGCTTTTTCACTGATAACAGTTGCCTGCTGCATCTCCAAACAAAACACATGAGAGTCCTAACACTAAATCAAAACAGTAGTGGGAGGTCTTAAACCCAGAACAATGACCTGAAAGATGCTTAAAAGCTCCATAGAGCTGAAAGGAACTGTAGAGTCGGGTTATAATCTTTTATGGGATTGTCACTATAAATGAAACCTTTTACATTACACATAGTCGTTTAATCTATTGTTCATATATAAATAATGACAATAGCAGCTTTAAATCGAAAAAAGAAAATACAAAAAGTATTGAAGCTTAACCAACGCTACGATGGATGTACAATGGTAACAATAATCACTCCTAACACAAATACTGAACGCAAACTCTCCTCTGTAAGATACTGACTGTAAGAGCTCTGACTGTAAGAGCCACAAATTGTTCCCTCCTCTCCTCTATGGTGTGAATCCGCCCCCCACCCCCCACCCCCAAATAACCATCCACCCACTAAGCTCGCAGCTGCCAGAACGAATTAATGTGTGTTTAAAGTGAACACACATACAGTGTGTGTGATACCACCATCAGCGCCAAACATTTGCTTTCATTTTTCCGGCTGGTTTGTAAGAACGTTCAGTAAGCCTGCCAAATAAACAGCACAGTTTTAATGATCGTGTGCAACCCACAAGCTGATTATCTAATTACTAATCTAGTGTACAAAAAAACACCCATTTCTCCCTCTCTCTCTCTCCCTCTCCCTCTCTCTCACGAGCACCCTGACATGCCAAATGAATATCTGAAACTGGAGAATCAGGGAAACTCACCCACACGACTGAAACAACAAAAGACATGAAATCAGAAAAACGGAAACTTTGCAGTTGTGCTTGTTTGTCTGTAACTCTGCGTGTGTTCTCAGGCTCATGACAAACAGCTCTGCAGAAATACTATTTCATTTACAACCTTAATGACTGGATAACAAAGGTATTTTGATCATTAAACCAGGACTGAAAATAACAGGAAACCTTTGTCCTTGACTGGTGGGAAAACACATTGAACTACACTAAAGTAAATGTTGGGACCAGGTGAGGAATGAACCTCGAGGCATACCTGATTAGATAACATCCTCTGCAGTAGAAGCTCAAAGAGTTCACAGTTAACCATGTACCACCCCTTCAGTGGTCTATAATTAAAATATCCTCTTGTTATGTTCCTCTGCTGATGTTAGAGCAGACAGTAAACAGTAAATTATCGCTCATTTCATAGTACTAAGTGGAACGAATTGGAAACTTGATCACACTGTAAAGCAAATACATTGTTTTGTCGAGGGCAGCTGTGCCTCTTGCTGTAATATTTCCCACGTGTACCTAACACACAACGACAACAATGAATGGACGCTTATACTGTGCCACAAAACTTGTGATAGTTGATACCAGCTGTGTGAAACAGTATAAACCCACAAATTCTTTCCTGGGAATGTCCAAAAAGCAATGAGTCGGAATCGATAAAGAGCTGCAGCGTGGTAAAAAAAAAAAACTACTACACCACAGAGGCCATGGTTGTGATACAGGTCCCATAGGCATGCAAGAACAAATCTTTTCAGCAACAAAAGTGTGTGGATTACTGTGTGTGTGTGTGTGTGTGTGTGTGTGTGTGTGTGTGTGCGTGTACGTGCATTGATGCTGCCAAAGCCACTGACATGTGTGAAGAGTGTGAAGTGTGTCTTTGCTTGGCTCACGGTCCTGTGGCCTACTTTCCCCCCTCTCAGACTCACTAGGGAAGTGTGTGTTCCCACAGTGAATCACCTTCCCAATCCAGGTCAAGACGTTAGCAGGCAGGCATGCATACTGAAGCCAAACATGTAGTGTCTCTGCTACAGTTCTGCTGTGCTGAGAACCGACCACCTAGGCCCATTGCTGCCCTCTGATGGTTAAAAAGTGCAATCTCAAACACTGTGTGAACATTACAGTGAATTATCTTTTTGTTTGGAAGCAAAAGACATGTTTAATTTCTCATCAAGTGGCCTTCACAACTATATATTTCATAAATCTTATTGCCCCCCAAAATCAGATATATTAGTGTTTTCTGATCTGGGCACTTTCTTGTGTTCATATAATTTCTCTGTCTAATTTGCATAATGTATATGCACCTAAGTATTCATAGAAACTAGATTTTAGCCACACTTGAGCATGTAGCAGCTTTTGATAGACCAGAACCTCTGCTAATATTAATCTACACTGATCAGGCATGACATTAAAACAGATAACAGCTTTTATTGTTGTGGCTGATTGGTGTATATGTGTGGCCTATTTTAAAAGTTCATTCTGTAGCATTTGTAATTTGATTTGAAACTTAATTTGTAGTTTCAATTATTTTCAATCTTCATGGCTTGATTTAGTCAAAAAGTAAACAGATCAGTCACAAAATTAAAACCAGTCACCTGTTTTAATGTTATGGCTGATCGGTGTAGGGTCAGGGTAAAACCACCTCCACTCCTTCCTACCATATGTCTCTCTCTCTCTCTCTCTCTCTCTCAGGACTATGAGTACCCCAACCACCCCCAGTCCACGCAGCACCAGAAGAATGACCGGTGTCCGCCCCCACCCCAGATGCTGCCAGAGCGAGCCTGCGAGGTGCCGGGCTGCCGCTCAGACTCAGAGTGTGAGCGCCATAAACGCTGCTGCTACAATGGCTGCATCTACGCCTGCCTGGAGTCTGTTCAGCCGCCACCAGGTCAGCAGCCAGTTACACATGGTTACACACAGAGCAGTGTTCACCAGACACCCGCATTTTTGTGCACAAGACACAAACTGATGTATAAAAGGTCAGTCAGTTACGACCTTGGTCTTTTTTTGAAAGGTAAACACTTTACATTTTACAACTACAAAGCCAGGGTGAGTACAAGGAAGTCTGAAGCAATTCTGCGTCAACAGCTGTTGCAGTGATATGGGGAATTTAAAATACTTTGCACAGATATAATCAGCAGACTTGTATAATTTGTCCAGTCCAGTACAGACCAAAACACCTAAAGTAGGACTACCAAGGACAAAGGTTTTAAAAGGTTAAATTTCTTCAAGACTGGTTTGACGTTTTGTAGAACCATTCTGCTACAGCATTCTCTGAACTTTTAATGTTTAGTATTTTAGCTCAAAAAACAGATCATCACTGAGGCTCTTTTCCTCAAAACAATATGCATAATATTTTGGCTTGTATGTGTGTGTGTGTGTGTGTCCAGTGCTGGACTGGCTGGTGCAGCCCAAGCCTCGGTGGTTGGGGGGTAACGGCTGGCTGCTAGACGGCCCTGAGGAGGTTCTGCAAGGTGAGTGCAGTGCAGACACCTGGCCAATCACTGAGGCAAGAAAAAACCCCTGTAACTCCAAACAGTCAGCTTGCATGACTCTCATCTAACTGATTCTCAGCGCTCACAATGCAACTGCATCTTCGCCTTCACATAATAAGCTTTCACCAATCCATCAAACGCAACCCTTTACTTAGTGAATATGAGCAAAACAGTTTTCATGTTTGATTCCACCCTCCTCTTATGTGTGTATTGGTGATGTGTATTTCTGGGTTATTTTTTGTTTTTTTAAAATTCTTTCAGTTGTTAAACTATGAGATGTTTTCAGTCCAATTAAAAGAAATTGGAAAAAGAAATGCTTACCTTTTTGCGTTTATATTCAACAATCATACAGTGAAAAAAAAAATGTCAAAATGCAACCATAAGGCGCTAAGGTTGAGCATTCTCGTGTTTTCCTATACTGCTTTTCTTCAGTGAATAGATAAAATGTTCATGCAGCTTTTCTGAAGTCTGTAGGCAAGGAAACAACAATGAAAAAAAACGAACTAATCGACTAATAAACTGTTGTTTCATGTTTGTGATTTCCTCTAATGCACAGTATATTCTCTGCCCGCCAGCTGAGGCCTGCAGTACGACAGAGGATGGAGACGAGCCTCTCCACTGCCCCACGGGCTACGAGTGCCACATCATCAACCCAGGAAACCCTTCGGCTGGCATCCCTAACCGGGGACAGTGCATCAAGCAACGTGGGAACTCCGGTAAGACCAGAGCACTTCTGGTAACTCAAACAGCTGAGTAATTCACCATGTGATATGGCATTGAATCCAGTTCTTCAACAGACACCATCTCCTATCTTAATTTCATATTTGCAACTAATCCCCTGTCTATCTGATCTAGTGGAACCACTCATCAAAGTTTGTGCTCTTATAAAGGACCAAAGGACCAAAGGACAGGGACAGGATGCTGGGCTGTGCCAGCAGCTGTCTTGAGTCTGGGCTGGTATCTCTTGGCAAATATAATGCAGCCAAGTGCCAATGTCTGCCATTTAATAGATCTAAAAATATACAGATTGGAGTGACCTAGCAATTCAGGCCTACCCCACATGGCTGACGCTGTTTACAGAAATATGAACCTAATGATTTATGAAGAGAACATAATGCATCTCTGTCATGTGAGCAAGAATTCAAAGTACAATGTGAAGTATATAGAGGTCAGATGTCATCTTTTTGTTTTGTTTTTATAATAGTTTGGGGCATTTTATCTACAGATGGACGTGGCCTAAGGCACAAATACTTTAAGGACTACAAGGATTACTTAGGTAAGTGAAGTAACATGAACTACTATTACTGAGTCTGACATAACAACAATCTGCCTGACATAATGATGTTTTCACTGACAGGTACCAGTTCTAACAATGCAGTAGGCTACGAAAAACATCATCATAAGCACCTGGGATGAAGTACGTTTTCAGCCGCTTTGAACTATCATGTCAACAAAATACCTCTTTTATCTTTATCTCCTTTTAAGAAAACCTAATGTTTTTATCTGCTCTCAGATCAGCCATGACCTCAGCCTCAGCTACGACCATAACACAACCTCAGACATCAGTCCAGTCCTGTTCGATCTCCTCTCATCACACCTGAAGCAGGATCAGATCTCACCTTTTTTTTACTACACCTACAGCTGCTACCTCCTCTTTGCAAAACCCCGTTTTTTTGCGGCCTATCCTCAGTCACAAACTTCTTTGGGAGACAAGTCTGATGCGCATACAGTAGACAGCCAAAGAAATAAGTGCTTTTTTTTGTCTCTCTGTCCGATATCTGTGAAAGGAAGGAGCAGAGAGTGTTGACGGTGAAGCAGAGGAAGAGAGAGCAGGGTGTGCACCAAAGCCGTTTTATCAAAAATCTCAAAGGAAATAAGGAAACCTTGCCATTTTATCATTTCTTTACAACCCCCTCCCTCAGTACCACTCATTCTCACACACGGACAAACTCTCTAGCCTGAAGCCTGGTCAGCAGAGAAAATCAAGACCATATGGCCCTGTTACTCAGTCTCTAAAGGACGCTACTCAAATTTCCTCAAACCTGGAAGATTTTATGGACAAATAGGAGAAATTCCAGCTGTACCAGCTGTTGCATCTCTGAACCAAATACAAATGTGAATTAAAATGATATCTAATTATAAGAATAAATGCCATATGAGTGTATGGATTGTGTCAGTTTTTGGAAAGGATTTGGAAAAGCTGTGGTCTGGTTTCAGTCAGCAGATGCTGACCAGAACATCAAAACAAAAGTATAATAAGTTAAAATAGTTCATTTGAGAGGACTAGTTGAATGAGATTTACATTTAAACGTATGCTCCATCTATGAAGCAGGAAACCTTGAACAGCCTTTAAAAAGCCCAGCTTTAAAAATGTGTGATACTGAAATGATAGATTTAAATATTACCTGAAATAAAGTTACTGAGGTGGTGCCTTTAATGACGCGAGTCGTGTAACAAATATCTACCAGCGCTATGTGGTTATGCAAGCGTTTTGTGAGTTTCGTGTGTGCATGTGTTTGCATGTGAGTGAGTCATCTGGTGACAAATTCAGCTTATCTGACAAACAAAATAATTCAGTCTGCCTATTAAATTATGACACCATCACAACCCTATGTTTCTGCATAAACATACCAATAGAAAGGGCTCAGAGTGGATATTTAAAACTGGTGAAGAATCTTCTGTGTTATTCTCAAACTCACTTCGGTCAACTTCAGTTGTCTCTGTTATCAGTTCAAATGGTGCTCATGTTTATTGCTGCCTATAATAACAGAAGAATAAGCTGGTCATATAATAAGCTGAAGGTGCAAAACAAAAGCTGTAACCATTCTCTATGTGCAGAACTAAAGTGATGTCTGAATGTTGCTTTCTGACTGGTGCTGTAATGCTGCCTTGTTTATTCTAAATAAACCACATTGTTGGAACTGGTCTGAGTTTTGTGATGTTTTTCTGTTGCAAGAAATCTTGGGATTACACCACAGACACTGATCCCATCCTGCTTTGTCATCATTCTTAAGCAGCAGATTGAGTTGAAGCAAAAATGAACTGAACTGAACACTGTTTCCAGTTGCAGTAGCTTCTAAAATAAGGTCTAGACACCTCAGGGAGTCTTTCTGACAGTTTTAGGATATCCCCCCAAAAAAAAGGTGAGTGCTCAGAAATTAGCACAAAAAGGAAATAGTGTAAGACTGACATCTGGTTCCCTTTCTCACCATATTTTGTGTACATGGAACGACCAACAGCAAAGATATCATCACATATCACATGATTATTATTTTCATGGTCCACCTGCCTCAAGGAGATAGAAAAAAGAGGTATAAATAATAGATATGTGTAGGGATAATAAATTACTGCATCCTGGCATTAGGCATCAGAAATAAACTTCATACACTAGAGATAAAAGCAGGAAGAGATAGGTGATGAAGTGGCTCAACACATGGAGACAGAAAATCAGGTATTTGAAAAGCAGGTCTGAGTTGCTATAATTTGTTACGGTTGATTCTTTAGGGCTGCTGCTTTTAAGAATATCATGAGTGACACATGTCAAAGTACATACAATACAGTAGATAGATATATAGATATATAGATATATAGCATCTCATGATCCAATATGGTCAGGACCGTGTCAACACCGCCCTGTCCCCCTACTGGGCAAGGAGAGACATTTCTGTCTCACATCAGAATAAGGTGAAACTTGACCAGTCATTAGAGATATATCAATATAGAACAGTAAAACACAAGGAATAGGCAGTGAGCTAATGAATTTTGTTTTTAGGCTTATCCCCATTTGATAACTAAATGTTCCTCTATTAATACTACAGTAGGTGCCATTTTAATAACAATGTATTCCCTAAATAATAACACAAGAAGAATTCTTGAGTTTGATATTAATCTTCAGTTATGTTATTTATAAAGAAACATACTTGACTCTGGTATGTTTTAAGTTTGTATTCCTACTGTACATCAGTTAGAGATGATAATGGAGCCAGACTTTGCCTATGTCTCTCTACTGGGAGAGAGGTGTAAGCTTTCAGTGCAGTAGTATAGTCTGGGTCATTAGGAAAGCTCTGTTTGGACTTTAGGGAGATAAAGCAGAGTTTTATTTCACAATCCAGAGACAAATCCCTCATAAAAGATTCATGCTGTATCCTTTTGCCTGAGGGCTTTCCAATCTCATATTCAGCTTTTAATCCACAAATCACAGGCAGACTGAAAGAACTAATGTATAATTTTAAATCAGTCTTTTCATACTACATTTTTTCCCCACATACACACCATATATATACCATTTTCCATCACTTAAATTCAATCAACCCAGCAAAAGGTGGCAAACCCCTTCCACCCAGTAACATTAATTATATATCACTTACTCTTATTTCCGGGTACTTTAACATTTTTCAAATGAACATTTACTTTTACAGTTTCTACATATTAACCTTGTCTTGAGTATAATGTATCTTTTGAAGCATCCAGGTCGAGAAGTTTTCATTCCATATTGTGCAGTGACAGGATGGTAAGTACAACGTTACTGTGACCTACAGTATGTGGTAAACATATATCTCAGTGGGGTACTTCCCTTTGTTCGGCGCTCTCTCCCTCAGTCCCTCTCTCCTCTCTCGGGCACATGCACGCGCGCACAAGAACGCACGTGAGCACCTGCTTTAAAGCTGCAGCGGGGGGGGCAAAAAAAAAAAGAGAGAGAGAGAGAGAATAATTGTCAGTGACTACTTAGTGTTGCGAGTATAGCAGCCATTGTGTTTTGGATAAGCCGGTGGTGGTAACGCTCCGCGGCACACAGGCTGTCAACCGTGTGTGTTATCGGGCTAGAGCCTAAAAACTAACTACTGGGCATGTCGCGCATGACCGCTTCATCACAGCCACCGTGTTGATTTATTTCACCATGAGCGCGCCGAACAAGTCATCAGAGAAAAGGTTAGTGCCACGCTCACCTGTGTCTTTGCGTTTAATAAATTACATTCTCTTTGTTTGTTTATTTATGTTACACGCCATACTTGTGCATACTTTCAGAATGACAAGCAGAAATAATATCCCTATTGTAGCCTGTTTGAAAAGTTTCCTGGAGCCTGATGCGACTATTAGCTGTGTGTTTATTTTTCGTCAGGAACCATTTACAAAAGTTCTTTATAGCTTACACATGCTGAATGAGACACTTAACACTCCCGGCAGTTCATCAGCAGTTCAACACCTCTATAAAAAAAGACAGCGCTGGATGTATTTAAAATAAGACAAATGCGCCCAGAAGGTGTCAGTGTAGTTTATGCCTAAGTCTGCTCCAGTGGAAAAGGCTGTCAGTTTGTACAGCTGTGTCTGTCTATAAGAGAAAATAGCTCACAAATTCATGTCATGTTTTTAATGTGCTTGCCATGTCAGACAAGGTCAAGAGTAGTGTAGACAGTAGATTTGTCTGTACAAGTGTTTTATTTTTGAACCATGAAGCTAACTGATGGTGCATGTGCAGTATGTGAAGTTATATTAAACTCATATTTTTCCTTTGGACAGGAATGGCTCCAAAAATAAGCTGGATAAGCTATTAAAGGAGAGAAAAGGCACATTTCCACTGCTGATCAAGGTAGGAAGACAGCCATTCATTTTTGATAAATGTATTTAACATATTTGTAAATATTTGTCAATATTTAAATTGTGTACAAAGTCTTTGAAAGACTTTTTTTTTCTTGTCAGCCAGACGCTTAAGTATATTACTATAAGTTATAGTGGTTGCTATATTTCTGTGGTGTGACAGTAGGCCACCAGGCAACTCTACACCCTGTGTTGTTGCGCAGGCCATTAAATAAATGTTATTTAGGTGATTGTGTGCACTCAGCAGAACTGATTTATTAGGGAACATACTCTGCCTTGTCATGTTCTTGGCCTGCACCACTGAACCATCCGAGAGAGCTGCCCTTTTCCCATTTGCAAATGCTGGGAGATCAAAACTACCCAACCCTGAGCCATTATAGGGCCACATGCTGTATGTAACGTCTCCTGCTATGACCAGCACCTGGGTTAACCCTACCATCCCCTCTTCCTGGAAAGTACCACAACTTTCAGCTCTGCCCTTCAAGGACAAGTTCACATAGCAGTGGACTCATTCAACCGCCCTCCCTTCCTGTGAGAAGGGATTAGAGTGTTTCAAAGCCCCCTCGGACCTCCCTCATTGAGCTCCTATAGGACACTTTCCTACTTACTGTTGATTAAACTTTTAATACTGTTTGGAGCTCTTTGCCATCAGAGCAGACAAACCAGTGGAGCAGGAACGACTAAATCCCCTTGATGACATTGTACAGGGCAGTGCTGGTCCACTCACTCTGAAGCTACCTGGGCTCAGGGTTTATTCAGGCTCTATTTATAACAGCGACGGTTTGATGAGGAAAAAAGACGAATAGGGATGAAAAACATTGTAGATAACATGAATATGGGGAATGAGGAACATCAGATTTCCTGTGCTGTGAGTGAATGAGGGAGGGAGGGGGTATTTTAATGATTTATGGATGAGTAACCACAATAACATGGGTCAATGTAATTTAAAATATAGATTTCAAATCAAGCTCATACATTGCTGTGCTGTCTTATATGTACAGCATTGCACACAGCAGGGTGTGTTTGGTCAAAGTCTTCAACACTTAATCCCATCATGGCTGTTTTATTTGCTCTGATCTCAGCCAGCACTTGAAGAAAGACCCCTCACTTACACATTCTCCTTAATTAGCAAGGGCACTGCCAGTAGGTTGTTAAGCCAAAAGACACTTGAGATAAGAGCGCTGAAAATCTTTGAACATCAGTGAGAACTTGGAAGCAGTGTCTGAGGCATCATTTGAAGCTATTACGGTTTCTGCTGTGAGTGTACTCCTCTCTCAGGGTGTCAGTTCAATAGTTTTTTCAGTGTTTTTCTTTTTTCCAAGTTAGGATATCAGTGGAGAGCATGTGCGTCATTACAAAATGCAGACGCAAGCAGCTGCTCTCAACAGATGCAGCGCACCACTTCAAGATGTGAAAAGCCCTGAGACTGTAGCTAGCAAGGCATTTTCATTTGATATGACTCACTACTGATATCCACCTTTGGCATTTAAGCCTTTTTTTATATATCAGAAAAAGCTGTCAGATCCTTCCGGTAAAGTGGTACTTTATACTGCATGGACGTACATGACTTATTTTTGGGCATTTGTCTACTCTACTAAGTCGGGTCACTAATCTTCTGTCGTTCAACTATTCAGTTTATTAATTGAGCTCTACTTGCAACCTCATACAAAAACATTCACTACACTCTATTAGATCACGACCTTGAATATTTTTGTGTACTTCATGACCTGCTTTAGAGTATTGTTTGACAGAGCAGACCCATACACCTGGCCCAGGTTTTACCCCCACACACTGTGGAAAAGGGAGGGTGCCTCCCCATTATTCTGATGAACCTTGCCCCTGATAGGGTTTCTCATCACAGCTTTGTCCCTCGTTGACACCGGACCCCCTGGATTAAAGCCGGTCATTTAGAGGGAGAGCTCACGTCTGCTGAATTACAGGCTGATATCAGTGTCACTGAGCACAGGGTTCACACTGTGCATCTGTGGTTGAGTATAAAATATATTTCAACCAATATAAGCTTGCTTCCAGTCATTTCTAATGACCTCTCTTACTTAAGCACACGTGTGTATAAGACTGTCATGTGTGCAGCTGAAGTTGTGTCCATGTTAATGCACTGTTGCAAGCGTTCATGCGTACCAACAGAAAAGGCCCCTGGCTTGTTGTCGGAGTCATCACATGCCCCTTGCTTCTCAGCATGTGAATCTTCATGTTCTCTTAGCACCATAACAGAGCCAGGCATAGCAGCATCCTCAGTGGTGTGGATGACTGTTATCCCTCCCACTGGTCCACACAGGACTGTGAAAGCCTGGCCAAAT